GAAAAGGAGAGTTCTGTAGAAGATACACTCGAAGATCCAAGAACTGATCTGAGAATGCGTTTTCAACGTTCTATGAACATATTGAAGAAAAATCAAGATTTAATCAAAAGCACTCTGGCATTAAATGTCAAATCGTCGAATTGGAGTTGTGAGAAATGCTGTCGTAATTTTGTAACTCAAATGAGCTTACAACGTCATTGGGATCGTCATATTGGGGAAATCCTTAATCCCTCGGTTTGTGAAAGTCAAGTCAGCTTAACGACAGTTCCACTGTGCATGCTTTGTGGCGAGGTTTTTGGAAAAGATTCTGATGCTTGGGATCATTTGAAATTGAAACACATGCAACTCGTTGATGAAATTGAATACATTAAGAGTTCTACAGACGTTTTGATTTTAGAAGAAGTTTCTGATACTGAAGAATTTGCTCAAGAAATTAAAAGAATGAAGTTGGATAATACAGGAAAGAACAATGTACGTAAGTGTGTTGGACACTGGTGACGTAAGAGTTCAATGAACTCTTTTTCAAGAGTGCAATGAACTCTTTTTCCATTGGAAACTGTGACCTTCGGTATATTGGACTGTTGCTCAGTTTTGAATTGAGAATTAACGGTTGCTCATTTGAAAAATTGATTTCGTATCGACACATATAAATCAAAAACATTTTCCAGGAGAAGAATGATCAAGTTGAAGTATCATTTATGAAAGATGTTGAAACTGTGCCTGAACGTAATTTAATCATCAATGATTACCTGAAACAAGTTCAAGTTAAAAAACTCTTTCAATGTGAATTCTGCGAGTCAATTTTCAGTCACCCAAAATCGATGCTTCATCACGTCTCTCGCCATGCACCATCGGAAAATTTTCAATGCCGAAAATGTGAATTATATAATTTATCATTGAGAGGAATATTGTTACACCGACGGAATGAATGCGTTCTCATCCGAGATCATTCCAATCAACTGAAAGATTTCGCTCGTGTTTGGATGTGCAATGTTTGTGATGAATGGTTTCGTGGACTTGAACAGCTTTTTCTGCACCGGTGACAACTTAGAATTTATTTATTTAAAATTTGAATAAACCTTTTGATTACAGTCATAACGAACATCATTTCTTTCCACGAGTTGAGCAACCAACAAAGGAACTTTTATTTTTATGCGAGTTATGTGCATCGACATTTAAAACGGCACCAGAGCTTGTTGAACATTTCAATGCAAAGCATAATAAACAACCAAAACCTGGTGAAGTTCCTTCAACTTCTGATCGTATTCCCAGAAAAGCTGATGAACAACGAAAAGGTGGCGTTCATCAAACATCTACAAAATCTCGTCAATATCTTTGCGAAGTTTGTGGTAAATCATACACACAATCTTCTCATTTGTGGCAACATTTAAGATTCCATCAAGGTGTGAAACCATTTGAATGTTCTTATGAAGGTTGTAATCGTCGATTTACAATCCGACCTGATCTAAACGACCACATCCGAAAATGTCACACTGGTGAACGACCTTTTTTGTAATTATTCTCATTGTCAATATTTCTAAATCTGAGTTTTAATTGAGAGCAAATTTGCAGGTGCACCACTTGTGATAAACGTTTTTTGACCGGATCTGTTTATTACCAACATCGATTGATTCATCGTAATGAACGTCGTTATGGATGTGAAGAATGTGGAAGACGATTTTATCGTGCAGATGCTTTAAAAAATCACATGGTAAAGATTTTAATTCCTTTTTTATTGAAGTCTTTTAATTTGGCATTTTTAAAGCTTATTCATACTGGTACGAAACCTTATACTTGCGCTGAATGTGGCAGAATGTTTCGTCAACGTGGAGATCGCGATAAACACCTTAAAGCACGTCATCCACATGCTGGAGCTGCAAACTCACCAAAGAAAGAACGAATCAAATCATTTGGTCGTGGAAGAACAAAAGACAACACGAGTTTGTATGAAGCGAAACCAGATTTTTCTTTGTAGTTTTTTATTTACACTAATTATTTTAAAAAGCTCCTTGCAAAGCTTTTCCATGATATTTATTCCTGTTATTTTTAGAGGCTGAATATTTTACATGCTTCAATTAATTTTGCTTTTGAAATATCTTCTGATTTTTTTCTGCTTTCCTAAGTCATTGCATGTCAATAAAAGAGAACAAAATTTTGTTCTTTTATGTTATTCCATGAGAATTAATTTCTGTTGAGATATTTAAAAGATAAAAAAAATATAAAATTAGATGATAATCAACTACGATGAAAAGGAATTTTAATTATAAAATCGATAGCTCAAGCAACACTTAGGATTTGTAATTACTGGAGCGTGAAACACCAATTACACTTTGCCATTTTCATTTCGTTAATCTTAATTGAACAGAGCCAGTATGGCATGTGAATTTGAAGAAAACAAGGTCGAGAAAGTGATAAATTTCAATGATGAAGAAGGCAAGTTTTCTTACATTTTCACATTTTCTACTTATCCCTAACCTTCACCAACCATTTAGAAAGTATTATTTTCACGATGTTTTAGTCGCGTGACACTCTTGACTTTTAATTCGTTTTTTTGGCATTTCATTAGCAAGTTTCGTGTTACTTGGAAATAAATTTTTGAATATTTCTGTGATTGTCACCCTTTTCTGTTGAGAATTTAGTTAAAAATAGCATTATGACCTAAACAATGAAAAATCTGTTTAATGAAATTATAAAGCTTCAAGAACAAAAGGTGAAAGTGACAATTTTGATACAATGAAAGTTTTTAATTAGAGCACGTCTGTCAACAAGATTTAATCTTAATTTGGATATCATTATGATGAGTATCTGAAAAGATTTAATAAGGATATGATTGAAAATGATATCTAATTAACTTTTTTTTCAATTTCTATGTTACTGACTCAATGATATTGTTTGATAGGCTTTGGGAGAATTAACTTAAATCAAATGAACGATCTTGACCCTTAATGGAAAAAAGTTGTATCACGTTTTCACATAAGTCATAAAATCTTTGATATAATCGCCATTCATATAAATTTAACTTCAATTCTTAGTCACTTATTTTCGAAGAAAAAAAATTGTTTTAAATTTATCTAATGTAGAAATCATAAAGGATGAAAAATAATCATATTCATAGAAAGTTTTCTTCCAAGAATGATTAAAATGTATTTAAGGAATATCATAAAAAAATTTCAACAGAAGAAACAAAAAATATTTAATTAATTCTGAATAAATATGAGATTCATATTGACAATAATAAAATGTGAAAATTGATAGACATTGAAGGCATGAATTATTCATTACAAGAACCGAGACTTTACATTACAAAGATAACGAACCATGTAAATATTTGTATCTGATTATCTAAGATTTTTTCAAACATCATCAGCAATATTTAAATACGTTTTTTAGAAATGAAACAAAAATCACGAAACGTTTTTATATTTCAACATGGATTTAAAAATGAATTTAAAAGACAAAAATAGAAACGTTGATTGTTGATTATGAGAGAACATTTTATAAAAGGTTCATGAGAATCATAATCATTACATATTATATGAATGTATGTTTTTAGATGAAACAAAACAAAAGATCATATCTAAAGTAAACATTGAATTGTTTCGAAAAAGCTCGAGAGCAAACATCAAATATCTTATTGGTAAATATAACTCCTCTTAAGGTCATGTTACAATATTGCTTGAATCCTCTGAGGATTCATCGATTATTTCAGATACAGTTTTGTGCTTAAAACATTGAGAGTTTGCCTTGATAGTATCAATCTGATAAATGAGAAGTTTGAAAGCTTCATCCGGATGTGAGCATGTTTGCGAAGTGCTTAGAACAGTTTTCGAGCATTCCAACATTTTGTCATAATTGAAACTTTAAAAATAAAATTTTGTTAAATAAAAAAATTAAATAAAATAATAATAAGACTTACTTGCATGTGGCACCGTTTAGCAGTTGCATTAATGTTGGGGTTTTTTGTGGTATCCAAAAGAATATAACGTTAACAAATGATTTCTTTTGACAATTTCTAAGGTTTTGAAGATTTTCTATAAAGCAATTTTCAGAATGGAGCTCGTATATGTTATGAAAGATACTCTGATTCATATTGCATATATATTCAAGAGTCGTTTCAAGAAGCAGCAAAGTATTAAGCACAAATTTCTTACGTTCTTTTATTTTATCCACGCAAACATTACCAATTGGTTGAATGTAGTCTGTCATAGATTTTGCAATATTCCTTTTCGCTTCACATATATCTTCAAATATATTTTTATGATTTTGTTGTATTATGAGCTTTAATTCGTTTGAATGTAAATTGTTAAGTTTTTCAAATTTCTGCTTGAATTCCTCAACCATTAATTTAACAGTTCGGTTTTGAAGGCATCCGTTGTTATACTCATAGTTTATTATCGAAGTATTATTACTATTCTCAAAGATAAATCCTACAAATAAAAGAAAGAAAATTGTGAAGAAAGATTAATTCAAAATTATTTCTCTTAGATACCTTGAGTAACGTGATAAAACATAAAATATATTAAGATAATTTTTAGCACCATTTTTTTAA